TTCTGATATATATTAGATATTATGGTTACAAAACACAAGAAAACTGACATCCATGGTCTTATTTTGTTACTTCAAGTTAAGTCTTTTCATTTTAATACAGACAGTTCAATTAGAAAAAAACTAAAGGTGAAAAAAATGCTTGTGACTCAAACTTCCTTGTCTAAAAACACTTGCAAAGCAATCACAGGAGAGGCACCAAGTGTACTTTTCGTTAGGAAGCTGATAAACCAGTTCGTCAAGTGCAGAAACACATTTAGTACATGCGCAAAAACAGACTCATTCATTCATTCATTATTTTTATTTGTATAAAATAGAGACGCCAGAGAAAGACTGAGAACTAAGAAACATGACATTGGGAGTGAGAAAAAAGGAGAGACAGAAGATATTGAAGCAAACCTCAAGAACTTCAAACTGACAGTCTGTGACGCATGATGGAGGCAGGAGAGAAATCTGATCGTCCTGACAGTGAGTTTTCCTCATGTTGTACATATATGTTTAAAAGTTTGACACAAACCTATATAATATACTTTTGAACAGTTGATCATCTAACACAAAAGTCTTCAAAATATCGTGATTAATCTAATTTATATACAAAGTCACTATGTATACATTGTTGTTCAAAGGATGAAAAATATTTATAAACATCACTAGGATTGTACATGGATTTATTCCCAAGAAGTACAAATTAATATAGTAAGGTCAAAACCTTTTACTTAATTCAAATGCGAGAGATCTCATTGTGGAAAGTAAAACCTACAAGTTTCCACCAAGTTTCAAAGCAACAACTTTACAATGTCTTTAAATAATGGATGTTAAGATAACTGTACAAAAGCTAATGATACAAAGCTAAGCTGGAAAACTTTGTAATCTTGTTAAAAGTTTGTAATAATGTAATTTGATTTGTCACCTAAAAGCAAACACAACAATGCAAGTCAAACTGCAGAAAATGCATTTGCTTTAATATTACAAACTGCATGAGCCAAATGCACACGCAAAGTATACAATTTATACATTTGACTATACACCTAAAATATGATAATACATTTGTTAAAGTTAGCTAACTACACGTGATAATTACAGGTTCCTTAATTTTCTTTTGCAGATTGTCCAGCTCTTCCTGAGATAAAGGCCATTATAATAGGCAGTAAAGCAGAGTACAAATGCAGTGCAGCTAATACCATTCTTGGCAGGGCCGTGCAGAGACCTTTGGAGGGGCAGGTGCTCAAAGTATAAAAGGGGCACATGGAGCAAGGCTTTTAATAGGGCTGTGCTCCTTGCTGAGACATGTATCGAAACGGATGCTTCTGTATTGATAGCAGCAAATGCTGTGACGCAGTTTTGAAAAAGAAACACATAACAGAAAAGACCATTTTAAGTTTAAGAGTTAAATAAATATTTCTTTGCACCTCTTAATCACTCTGAAAATAGAAACGGAATCAAATTAGGCCTATTATTATTATTGAGTTTACAGGGTATGGTGGTTTTGCTATTGTAAACACTACTGTTGTTGTTGTTGTAGAAAAAATATTTCTGTCTTATTTAAAATAGAATTATATTATAATGAGGAGAAGTGAATATCTGGATGCAGTGTATGTTTAATTCATACTCGAAGCCGGAGGGCGCTCTCGTGCAGAAAGTTCAAAACAGACTCATAGAAGGAATGACTTATGACGTGCAGGAAACCCTAATATGGACAAAAGCATCCGGCTGTCGCTGAAGCCGAGCTGAATAAAAAGCAGAAAAAAACCGTGAAGACAACACGATTGCGAAAATATACGGTTTATGTGTGTTTTTCAAGTTATCTCCAGGTAATAAATAAACTTTATGAATAATGCAGTACTGAATGACATATTTAGTAACCTATAGAAACTATAAATTTCTTGCCTTATTCTGTGATAAAAATGGGGAAAAGGTGCTCGTAGTAGCCTTTATAAACCGATCATAAAATTGTCATTAGGAAAACATTGAACAAAAATATTATAGCCCTTTGCTGCAGCTAACCTTATGTCCACAGGCTACAAACAGCAATATAAGAAACAGCTGTGCATGCTCTCTTCACGCAGTTCTTGTATAATAATAATAATTTAATAATATAAGTATACAAGCACACCGCTCCGCTGAGAACTGCACATACCGGCAGCCGCGGACGTTATGAAGGCATCCTGGTAGTGCGCTACATTAAAGCTCATGGGAGTTTTACTTACTCAAAGTCGATAACGTATCTCTGTAGATTCCCTCCAAATTTCCAAACGTCTTGACCCCGCCTCTGATCCAATTTCATTGGTTGAATCTTTCAACCAATCATTTTCCTTTCTGCCCTTAGAACAACTTTGAGTAAGTAAACTCCCATGAGCCCTTAATACAGGTTTAGCTGATTTCAGTTTCTGCCTGTAGGTTGGTATAAGATGAACCAAACAGTGATCAGAGAGCCCAAAGCTGCCCGTGGGACAGAGTGATATGCATCCTTTATTGTGGTGTAACAGTGATCCAATATATTGCT